ATAACATGGTGCCACACGGCTTGGCTTAAAGGGAAGAGAAGAGATGCAAATGCTGGGCTTATTCTTATCCTACTGAGTTTCCTCATTCTGAGCACCCTAACCCCGGCACCTAGACCCAAATTCCTGGATCCAGATTCCTGGACCTATTCTGCAATCACTCATATTTATTTGGCATCTGGGCTAAGTTCAGGGGATACAAATGTGAGTAGAAATACATCATTCTTTGTCCTCCTGGAGGTTACATTCTGCCTATTGACAAGGATGGCATTGCCAGATATCTGAACAAAAAGTTAATTGCAAACAATGACAGTATAAGAAGGGGTGCTGAGGTGCCATGCATGGAATAGAGGTTTCCAATCTCAACTGATAAGGCTAAGGGTGGGCTGTGAGAGGTGACAAGTGTACTAAGTTCTACATGATGAACAGGAGTAAAGTCAACAAAGGAAGGGGAAGGACTGCAGGCCATAGAATAGCATGTACAAAGGCCCAGAGGCAGAAAGGAGCTACCTACAAGAAATGCAAAGATGGTCTGTGTGGCTGGGACTAGAACACAAGGAGAAGCATGGAAAGCGGTAAGACTGGCAAGGTAGGCAGGTGCAGATGAAATGGGAATCCTCTTTGCTGTGCTTTTCCATTTCCAGGGCACTGAGGCATAACTTCATCAGCGCCTGCACCACCACCAGGAGTTACCAACAGCAGGTGAGTTTGTTCCAAGTTTGCAAATGAAGCAAATGCTCATCTGTGATTTGCCAGAAGCCACACTGCTCAGGAGTGGAAAGCCCTGGTGCTCTGACTTTGTCCTGTACTATTGTTGCCTTCCCTGCTGTGCAGTTCAAGCTGAGTCTTCCTTCTGACTCAGCCTCAAATCCCATACTGAAGGCATCAGCTCTCAGAGCTAGAAGGAACTGGAGGATGCTCCCAAAGTGCGTCTTAAGAGAATGGAAGAGTCCCATAATCTCTGGTGGGGTTTTTCCTGGTTTACTCTAAAACACAGGCTAGAATCCTTTTAGCTCAGACTTCACCAGTTGGGAAAGGCTTTGGCATGGTGTGAGTTTGACCAAGCAATCCTTGCTTTTGATTCAGTTGATCCACAGCTCCAGGCAGCTGCTCTGGAAATGCTTCTACGGACTAGAACACACTCATAAGAGCCTCTTACCCACATTCCAGGAGAGAGGCTCCACAGAAACTTTCTCCTTTTCTTATGTCTTCCTAAAACAAGAAGATCATTATTCATTTTAAATGGCCTCTCCTAACCTACAAATTGTTAATTGATTTAGGAAAAAAAAAATACTTACCCCTTCTTCTTCATATATTCCAGGACAAATTCTGCTGACTTAAATTTTTGGCCTCTGTCTGTGAAACTCAATTACTTGCTAACCTTTGCACAAAAAAACTACACACATCCTCAACAGTGGGCCTTGAGTAAGAGGCCACCCTCAAGCCACTCACCATGCCATGAGGGAGGCTGGGAAACACAATCTTCAGCTTTGTATCTGACTAAAAATGGGGCTCTGTGGTTAAGTTTAAAAACCAGAATAATCCTTAGAAAGCCATCAGTAGACTCCACCAGAAAGGAAATTATTCCTAATTCAGACACTGATCCCCAATATAACCTTGGCATCAAAGCCAGATGTGAACAGTATAAAAAAAGAAAATCCCTGGCCAGACTAGCTCATGGACATAGATGTAAAAGTCCCAAACTAAATATTAGCAACTGAATCCAACAGCTTATAAAAAAGAGAATATCATTGTGGCCAAGTTTTATTTATTCCAGAAATTCAAGGGTGGTTTCATGTTAGAAAATTTATCATTATCATATAACAAATTAAAGGATAAAAGTATGAGTTCTTAGAAAAAACATTTGACAAATTTACTCATCAGAAAAACTCTGAATGAACTGGAAATACAAGAAAATACTTTAACCTAACTAAGATTAATTAACAAAAACCTATGGGATACATTCCTTTTTCTTTCTCTCTCTTTTTTTTTTTTTTGTAGTCTTTTTTTCTTTTTTAAGAATAGAAGATCAGTCCCACTTTCAACACTTCTGCTCAAACTACATTGGCAGTCCTGGCCAATGCAACACAATAAGAAAGACAAAGTCATAAAGAGTTGGAACAAAGAAGTAAAACTATATTCATCATATATGATATAATTGTTCCATAAGAATCTACAGAACAAATATTGGAAATCAATAGAAATTCTGGCTGGGTAGCCAAATATAAACCAATGTTTGGAAATCTACTCTATTTATATACACCAGCAAGAGTTAGAAAATATAATTATAAAAAAACAAACTCATTTAACATGACTCAACACTGCAAGGTAAGCTGGGCATGGTGACACACACCTATAATCCCATCGACTCAGGAGGCTGAGGCAGAAAGATTTGAAGTTCAAGGCCAGCCTGAACAATTTAGCAAGACCCTTCCTCAAAATTAAAAAATAAAAAGATCTGGAGATGTAGCTCAGTGGTAGAGTGCTTGCCTAAAAAGGCGTGAGACCCTGGATTCCATCTTCAGTACTACCATTAATAATAATAATAATAATAATAATAATATTAATATAATAATAACAAAATATTGAAGACATATAAGGAAAAAATAATAAACTATTATTATAAAGAATTAATCAGGACCTAAGTAATTTGAGACTCATTTCTTGGATTTTGGATATTTAGATTGAAAAAAAAATTCATTTCTTCCCAAATGGAAATATTTGTTCAATATAATTCCAATCAAACTCTCAACGAGTTTTTGAGGACCTCAATAAGTCCTTACAGTGAACCTAAAATAACCAATTTATTCCCCAAGAAAAAGAATGATATATAATAAGTTAGACATCAATTAAGACCTATTATAAACCTATGGTATTTTAAACCAACGTTATTGCTTCAGGTAAAGACAAATTTATCAATATTGGCTATAAAGACTTGGCTACAAAGCCAATAAGCAGACCCCACAAGTAAACAGAAATCTTTTATATGACAGAGATAACATTTACATCAATTTGGAAGAGTTGGACTATCAATAAATGATGCTAGAATAATTAATCATGCATATGGTGGAGAAAATTAAATTGGATCCCTATGATTCACTGCTCAAAAATCAATTCCCAATAGATTGAGAAACAAAGTATAAAAGTACTGGGATTGAACTCAGGGGAGTTCTACCACTGAGCTACACCCCCCACTTTTTTTTTCCATTTTGAGATAAGATGTCCCTAAATTGCTGAGACTGGCCTCAAACTTGCCATCCTCCTGCCTCAGCTTGTTGAGTAGTTAAGATTAGGTGTGCACTACTGTGTCCAGAAAAACCTTAAAAATTTTAAAAGAAGATATCTTTATGGACTCAAAGTAGATTTATTAAACAGCTCCATAAGTACTAACCATAAGTTGGTGAATATATTTAGCTACATTAAAATTTAAACCTCCTATTTATCGAAAACAAGACACAATTTTCAAGGAAATGGATAAAATTGGAGGTTGTCATGTCTGAGCAAAATAAGCCAGGCTCAGAAAGAAAAATATCTGAGGTTTCTCTCATATGTAGAGTCTAGAAAAAATGAAACAAAGAATAAAGAATGGCATGGAAGTGGCAGGAGAGAAGGGAGACTATTAGAGAAGGGGAAAGTGACAAGGGCAGGGAAAGTGACAAGGGCAGGGAAAGAATAGGGAGGGGAATGTGATCCAAGTATGTAGTATGCATAGAGTAAATCATCACAATGAAACCCATTATTTTATACAATTAATATACACTAATAATTAATATTTTAACTTTAAAAAACAAGACACAAGGGACTGAGGTTGTGGCTCAGCGGTAGAGCGCTTGCCTGGCGCATGCAAAGCCCTTTGTTCCATCCTCAGCTCCACATAAAAATAAATAAATAAAAATAAAGGCATGTGAGGGGCTGGGGATGTGGCTCAAGCGGTAGCATGCTCACCTGGCATGCGTGTGGCCCAGGTTCGATCCTCAGCACCACATTCAAACAAAGATGTTGTGTCGGCCGAAAACTAAGAAATAAATATTAAAATAAAAAATTCTCTCTCTCTCTCTCTCTCTCTCTCTCTCTCTCTTAAAAAAAATAAAAGCATGTGTACAACTAAAAGAAATAAATATTTTTTAAAAAGACACAAACTGATAGAAGATATCTGTAAAATATATGACCAATACGGAACTGGTATTCAAAATATATAAACTAGCCTATAAATCATTAGAATAAGATAAACAATCCAACTGCAAAATGGTCAACAAATAAAAATAGGTATTTCAGAAAAAAGAAAACTCAAAAGGAATAAATGTTCCATTGTCCATGAATAAACCTACAGAATGATGCAAAACCCCGTTAATCATCAGGGAAATTAACTAGATTCACAGTAACATCTTACATTAACTTGCTTGGCAATAATTTAAAAGTCTGCTGTGACCAAGGGTTTGTTTGAACGTGTGTCAAGGTAAACTCTTAGGTACTGCCTGTGGATTGTAAATTGGTATAACTTTCAACCCATTTGGAATTACCTTGTGAACTCGAACATTTACATGCCCTACTACCTTTCTTTCCATTCCTTCCTGGAGCAACATGGGCACAAGGAGACTATTCAAGAGCATGCATTGAATATTGTTTATAACAACAACAAAAAGAACTACATACAATGACACCATTTCCATAAAGCTCAAACGCAAGCAAAACTACCTGATAAGTTAATGAATATAAGCATATGTGATGAAGCTATTTTTTTGAAGCAAAGATTTGAAATTCAGGATAATGGCTCTTATCAGGGGAGGCAGGCACACGAACAGGGAAGGAGGACATAGGCAGAGGCAACCAAATTGATAATGCTTTAATTCTTGCTTTAATTCTGTGCTCACAGATGTTTATTGTGTTGTATATTTCATAACATATATTTTACATTGAACATTTTATACTTTGGTTTGGGGGTGCCAGGGCCTGTTACATGCTAGACAGGCACTCTACTTCACCCCCAGACTAACATAAAAATCTAAAAGAATTATTCCCCCCTTAAAAGAATAGGCCCCATTTAGTAATGCTTAAGAAGAGGTAACTCCTAAAGTTATAAGTGACAGATTTGGCTCCTGAAGCAGTCAATTTCCAGCCACATTTATCCTGGGATGCTAGAGTCAGCTGGAATCCTGGACTGGTAAGCAGTAAATGTGAATCAAACCAAAGGGTAGGAGGTCTTTCTGTCCGCTGGGAAGTAGAAAAGGGCAGTGGCCTGCCCATCAACATACTCCAGTGATGGAGATGCAGAGTTCATGAACTGACTGGTGGCAAGCAAGAAGTCCAGAAGGAAGACGTGCCGGTGATGTGTCACAGCAGGGCAGCCATCCAGGAGACACACAGGGCTGCAGCCAGCCCTGGAACAGGTCCCAGCCTGAACCCAATCAGGTTCCCACCAGAGAAGAAGAACAGGGACCAGCCAGTCCTCCCAGATCTGGCTGCAGCCTTGGACAGGAACCAAGTAGACCTGCTGTCATCTTTGGGATGAGGCTTCCAGAAGATAGAAGAGCCAAAGATGAGCTGGAGAGGGGAGGGAATAAAAGATATGGAGAAAAATATCAGTTTGAGTTGGTTGTGAAGAAAAGGATATCCACTCCACCAAGTAAAAACACTCCTGGCCTCTGGGACTCTCCCCTGATCCAATCCCACCTCTAGCAGCTAAGAACCTGAGGTTGCCATATTGTTTTATCTATCTTATGGTGCAATGAGGACCGTGGCCTGGTGGGCACTCCCACTAGATGTTAATACCTCTAATACCACCAGTGGCTCCCCTTTCTAAACATTTTCTTCCCTCCTTTCTCTGTTGCTTTTACAGCACTAAAGTTGCTCATTATATGATTGAATGATTGTTCACAGAGTGTATTTCCTTGAGCTGCAAGCATTTTAAGGTCAGGCCTAACTCCTTTATATTCCCTATCAGCTTCCTCAGAACTATAATCCAGCTGACTCTCAATAAATATTGTTAAATTTTAATGAAATTTTTAAATCTGGGGAAGAAGGAGATCACTGTAAACTATTATTGTCAGCCACAAACCATTTAATATAAGTTAATTTTCAGAATTTTTAAAAATGTTTTAATGTAGATAGAATAATTTACGGATTGATTTTTATGTGGTGCTGCTGAGAATCGAACCCAGTGCCTCACAGTGCTAGGCAAGTGCTCTGCCACTGACCCAGTCTCTAATTTTCAGAATTTTATAAAGGTAGATTTTGATTAAAGAATTGAGAGAAAGTTGGAGGAAATTTTCTTAAATGATGAGGTTCCTTGAAGAAGAAGGGAAAAAACTATATGACCATTTAGAGAGATGATTTTTTAAAAAAATCATGACTTACTCATGCCCTAAAGCACTGTGGAGACATTAAAAATAGCTAGACTTCTGTAGACCATCATAGAAAGATATCAGACATATTATTAAGTTAAAACAAAACAAACTCTTGCAAAACATTCACATGTGACCTTATTTTTGTTAAAAAAAAAAAAAAAAAAGACAGCAAAATACATGTCTCTCCATTGTAGAAGAGACCTGAAAAAGATGAGGACAAAATCATACACAGTGGTCACCTCTAGCACCGAATTGCCTGAGAGTACCGTTCAAAATGTTAAAATTCAAATTCTCATTCAGTAGGTCCGAATGGAGTCCATGATTCTGTGTTTCTGACAAGGTCTCAAGCAGTGATATCCCAGAGCCAGATCATCCTGGCTTGTGAGAGCTGCAGGTTACACAAGTCCCTTGAAAAATATAGACATCCTTAAATATTATAGTATATTTACCGGGGCTGGGAATGTAGCTCAGTGGTAGAACATCTGCCTTGCATACACAAGGCCCTAGATTCCTTCCTCAGAACCACAAAAGAATAAATAAATCAAGTATATATATATATATACTCATAAGTAAATAAGTTATATTCAAAACTCATTACTTATTATTTTACAATTTACTCTTATATTCTTGAGGTTGTACACATAAACTACTGGATCTGTAAGTGGGGAAAAATATATAACAGTGTGCCACTATTCCTAGTTTTGCACTCAGTGACATCACAGCGATGGCATGAAATGTGCCATGGTGAGAGCATTTTACAATGGAAATTGGCCAACACAATAGATCAGGGTATTTGGTTTCTTTCTTCTTTTTCTTTCAGAGAGCCACTTGTTAAACATTTACCAGCACACCACCTCTATGAGCATAAAAAGCATTGGTCTAAGGCACAGGGCTATTTGGGGAAAAGTTTTAAGAGTAAGAGGAAAGAGTACAGAAGAGGGAGGCTGTGAACTTCGAATTCAGATTTTGCCACACTAGGATGTTCTGTATACCTACCTCAAGGGTGGCATACTGTCCCTTACTAAATGCTTGCCAACCGAGGAAATGAATGAATGCTGTGAAGAACCAAGATCATCTGCAGGAGAGCATTGGATGGCTCACTCCACTTCCTACAGGAGCTGGGAATGAACGAAAGAGCTGGTGTGTGCTCCTGGGGGCCCCAGGCAGGGGAAGCCCAGAGCTGGCAGGCTCCCTCCCTCCCACCTCAACATTTCCTGTATATGGTTTTGGTTCCTGCATCTGGCAGCCAGTACTGATTCATGTACTCCTCTAGAGTTCAGCAAGAACTATTCAGCAAGAAAAGCCCAAGGCCGAGCTACTGGTTGAGTAAACAAACAGCCAGGTCTGGACAAAGCAGCAGCCGGAACCCACACCGCCACTCCTCCTCCCACTCTTCGGCCCTTCTCCTGCCACTAGAACCTTCTCTCTAGCCCTGTTGCTCCCTCTAACCACTCTTACTCCTCGGACCACCCGAGGCAAAGTTCCACAATTAATGGAAACTTCCATCCCTCCAGCCTGCTCAGGTGTCACCAATCCAAACGCATCAAAACTGAAGTCAGAGCCATGGCCTGGTGGGCCTGGTGGGCCATCTGAGCAGACCTGTGGGTCAGGTCTCAGACCCTGAGGCAGAAACAGCTGTGCTTCTGCACCTGGTTCCAGCAAGTCACCCACTCTCCCCGTCATCATCCTACCAATGTCCCCTGCACCCCAACTGCAGGCACCCTGGCGCTGTTGTAGGCAATGGAAATCCGGGCTGCCCAACCACCGACTCGGAGAGCTCACACTGAGCAGAGGGAGCAAGTCAAACAGATGGTGATGATCCCTAGGAAGAGACTGAGGAAGGGCAAAGGGGACACAAGTCATGGGGCAGGTGGCATGGACCTGGGATGGGGAAAGGTTAGTACTACAGAGTGGTGAAGGGCCTCCTGTGTAGCTGGGACTACAGGTGCATGCCACCATGCCCAGCTGTCTGATGAATCTTCATGCCGCATGAAAGAAAGAGAAGTGTCAAGGAGGACTCGGAGTTCAAGCCCTATGTATCATGAGTCTGTCTTATAACAAGCTTTCATGCAGGAGCTGAATCTTGTTCTTTCTCACTGTATTTCCAGGAACAAAGAGTAGTTACTAGGCCTGGCCCACATTCACCAAGAGAGGATAGGAGAGAGGGAAGAAGGGTGTGTGGAATAAGAATATTTATGCCATTGATATTTCTAAGTCTGGCCTTTCCCAGGAAATCTTGGGGACTGATCCAACAAGTTCTGATGACTTACCTACCTACCCTCCACACCTTCCAGCTCCCTCTTCTCTTCTTGCACAAAAGCAAAGCATTAGCAACTAGACAGTTGAGAAGCAGTTTACCACTTTTAGTTCAGTGTTGAGTTAGTGTATTAGTCAGTTTTCCACTGTTGTGCAAAATACCTGAGGTTGGATACTTTATTTAAAAAAAAAAGAGGTTTTTTGAGTTCTCAGTTTTTTGGAAGCTAAAAGTCTAAGATCAGATGGCTTTACTTTATTTTTTATTTTTTGATTCTTCTTAGTTATACATGACAGTAGAATCCATTGTGATAAAATTATATAAGCATGGAATATATCTTATTCTAATTAGGGCCCCATTCTGTGGATAGGCATGATGGTGGGATTAACTTAGTATTTTCATATATGTGAAAATTATGTTAGATTTATTCTTCCTATTCCTGTCCCCCCTCCCTTTCTTTGTCTAATCTAATGAACTTCTTCTCTTCTATCCCTTCCCCCTTTATTGTGATTTAGCTTCCACGTTCAACCTTGGGTTTTCTGGGATTGGCTTATTTAACTTAGTGTGAGAGTCCGAAGATCCATCCATTTACTGGAAAGTGTCATAAAATCATTCTTATTTATGGCTGAGTAATACTCTATTTTGTGTGTGTGTGTGTGTGTGTATATATATATATATATATGAATCACATATCACATATCATATTTTATTATCTGTTCATCTGTTGAAGGACACTGAGCTTGGTTCCATAGCTTAGCTATTGTGAATTGTGCTGCTATAAACATTGCTGTGTCACTGTAGTATCATGATTTTAAACCCTTTGGATATATGACAAGGAGTGGGATTACTGGGTCAGATGGTGGTTCCATGCCTAGATTTTGAGGAATCTCCTTACTGCCTTCCAGAGTGGTGGCTCCAATTTGCAGTCCTGCCAGCAACGTCTGAGTGTTCCTTCCCCCCCTCATCCTCACCAACATTGATTGTCACTTGTCTTTTTGACAGTTGCCATTCTGACTGGAGGGAGATGGAATCTCAGTGTAGTTCATTGGTTCAGCCTCTGGTGAGAGTCCCCTTGGCTGCATCCCATCATGATGGACCACATCCCAGTGCAAACGTGTGCAGGAGGGAGAGCTCACATAGAGACACAGGAAGCCAGAGGGGCTAGGCTTGTTATTTCATGATTCCTCTCTCAGAAACTAACTGGGGACCCACAAGAACGACATATGTCTCTTCTGAGAGCCGCACCCTCAGTGACCTAACCTCCGTCCACACTGCCCCAGCTCTTAAAGGTCCCACCACTTCTCTATATGTCCACACTGAGGACCACACTTCTGATACATGGACTTTGGAGATCAAGCCGTCTCCAAACCCAGTTGTTAAGCTACACATTTAACTGATGTAACAGGAGCCCCCAATAATCCCTTCGTGAAGCTCTCTGCACGTAAGTGGGCCGGAGCTGCTACCACAGTGGCACATGCGTGGCAGAGACCCAGCAATATCTGATCTTGCTCTGGCATTGGGAGGGGGGCACGCTGCTGTATTGCACGGTCTCAGATCATCATGCATGTGCTCTCGGTGGCCTGAAGGAAGAAGAAAGGAGGAGAAAGTCACAGGGTTGAGTCAGGGAAGAGAAGGAAGGTGCCTCTGCCCTTTAAGGACATGCCAAGGAGTTGCACCCACCACTTCTGCTCACGTCCCATTGGCTAAAACTTGACCATTTGGCCACTTGACTATAAAGGAACCTGGGAAATAAAACCAAGCCCCCAACTAAAATTCCATGACAATGGAAGAAGGGCAAGAGAATGTCGGGGGCATCTGGCAGCTCTGCCACAAAGCAGATCCACCTGCCCTAAATGCCACTTTCCTTCTCTCTATGTGATCCCCTCAGGATAAGGCCCAGCCTAATGCCTTTCATTTTATATGAAGAATTTTTAAGCACATGAAGCACAATCATCCACATAATTATGCTTAATGTTCCCAATACCCCATGGGCTAGGTAGTTTGGTCAGATTTTACCTAAGAAAACCAGGGCTTAGAATGGTGGGAAGATCTGTACAGGGTCACAGACTGATGAACAGCTGGGATTTGAACTCAGGCCTTCTCTCCAGATCCCTTGCTCTCACCCCTCACCAGCAGGGCACTAAGTGGATAATTACTGTGCTGTGAAGGAGGGGTGATCCCTACCACTCACAACACCACCACTAGAGAATATCAGGAAAGATGGCAGCTAAAGACGGGTATACCTTTACAGAACGCAGACAATCCCATCATTCTCGCTGAAGGAGAAAATCCACTCCAGCCCTGCACATCTGTGTGTGACACAGAGGCAGAGGAGGCAAGACTGAAAAGCCAGGACAAATCCTGGGACCGGGCTGATGTGCACACCATCCCTGGCGCAGGTGGCCTCCTTGTTTACAGAAGCTTCTGTGGTGACTGGCTTGTGTCTGCTCCATACATCTGTGAAGTATTCTTAATATCAGTCCTTGTGAGATCTGTCCTTTGTGAGCCCCAAAGTGTCATAACATCCAAACTTCAGCTCCACATCTGCAAAAAAGATCAAGACAATTTTATTCCCTGCAGCCAGCCCACAGCTGGTGAGGAGACAGTGCTAAACATGTTGGTTTAACCAAGAGAAATGACAGCCACATTGTGCCTCAGACTTCCCCTGGACACCATCTAGGCCCTCAGCATCTCTCACCCCAGCAGCACCCCCTGCCCCTATTTCCCCAGCTCATCTCTTCCAATTTCCCCTCCTCCCAACCTGAAGACCAGGGCCCTCCAACAGTGCAAAGCAGGCTTGGAAGAGCTGGTGAGATCACAGGTCCTTCAACCATCAAAGAGGAAGAGATTTCCAGACTGCCCAATACTGTGGCCACAGGCCCTGCACGGCAGAGCCTTGCTCAGTGTTCAAGATTGCTGCTCTAAAGCTTTCTGCATGTTGCTTTAGCTAATTCAAAAACAATGTGGCAGCTAAGGGAGCCTTCTGAGGCCCCACTGCCTGGCTCTGATTCCAGCTCTGTCACCTATGACTGTGTGACCTGAGAAAACCTTAGCAATCGTTCTGTGCCTACTTTTCTCATCAGTAAAATTAAATGATAACGACAGCAAGGCACTTATCTAGCATGGTTGTTGTGATGATAACATGAGTTAATACAGTTGATTCTCATTCCCAATGATTATGTTCTATGAAATTGCTGTAAACAATGAATTAGTGAATTCTGATCCAGTTCCTAATGGGATACACAGTTTAGGTTCCTGTGAGTCTCGAGTTACAACACTTTCAACAACAGTGATGAATATCTTTGTTTTAATGTGTGTTTCTGTTTAAAGACACCATACTTAATATATATTATTGATTCATTAACTTTAAATTCACAGTCAACAGTACTATCATTCATGCCTGAACAATGCTTATCTCATGCAAATTTTCTTCACAAGGCACATCACAACTTTCTTGCACTTTCTTGCACACACTGCACTCCCCACTTCTCACTTTATGCCCTAGACAACACATCAACACAATACTTCGGACTGTTTTAAACAGTAAAATCACCCAAAAAGAAGCCAGATGTGGTGGTTCATGCCTCTAATCCCAGCTACATGGGTGGCCGAGACAGGAGGATCACAAATTCAAGGCAGCCTGGACAACTTAGTGAGACCTTGTCTCAAAATAAAATAAAAAGTGCTGGAAATGTAGCTCAGTGGTAGAATACTTGCCTAGCATGCATGAGGCTCTGGTTCAATCCCCAGGATTCTCTCTCTCTCTCTCTCTCTCTCTCTCTCTCTCTCTCTCTCTCTCACACACACACACACACACACACACACACACACAACATGGTACCAAACAGACCTTGCAAAGAACACTTGTTTACAATCTGAACTGAGACAAGAAGACAGAGGGTCACCTGGCTGGACCTTAGCTGGAATGTGCACATCCTGAAACTCTAATTCCCTCTGCTCTGCACATGTTTGAGAATGATCTTGGAAGCACCATGAGTATCGAAGTTGATAGTACACTGGATTTTATCAAAAAGGTGAGTTTGCAGATACAGAATCCATGAGCAATAAGGATCAATCAACTGTATACAGAGAGCCCTCAGAATAGCACCTGATGTATAGTAAGCACTGCGTAAAGGCCAACAACCTGCTGAGACAGATATTGCTGTTTCCATTTCATAGATGAGGAAACTGACTGTCCCAGAGGTTCAGGACCTGGACATGGGCTGGTCAGTGATGGTGTCAGAACTCAGACCAGTTTTCAGCCTGGTTTTACTACTTTTTATATTGCTGAGGATGGGTCCCCAGCTCTCTCCACGCTGCCTCCACAGGTGCAATGGTGCTGGCCATAAGTGACAGGCACACATTGCACTCTCCCTTCCTGCTTCACGCACACACGGAGCCCCTATATTTACACAAGGCTTCCTTTCCCAAACTTCCTTAATTCTGAGGTGCCCTAAGAACAAAGAGGTTTTCTAGCTTTCTGCTAGAGACCGGGTTCCTTCCTCTGGCTGTGGGCAGAGCTCCCAGCCCTTCTCATTCTGTCTCAGCACCTTCTACTCTGGCCACCAAGGCAGCCTGACACAAAGGACCCGGTACGAGGAGCTTAGGGTGGACTCTCTCAGCTTCCTCTGCTGCTTAGCCAGGGGCCCCAGCTGGGACTGGCTCACTCCATTGAGAAGAGAAGTCCTAGGAGAAAGGAAAGAGACTGCGATGGTGAGAGGGTGGAGAAGCCAGGACCCCAGGGACACCCCACAGAGGGAAGGCTGGCCAATGGAGGGGCAGGTGTGAAAAGAAGGACTGCTCATCAGAACAGTGTGACAGAGGGTCATGGTATCCACATTGCATGAAGCCCTTGGTAAAGCCAGCATCTACCTGGACCAGGCAGCTAACTCTGCCATCCTTCCAGCCCTGCGTTTTTTTAAATAGGTTGCAGATCCATCTGAACTCTGAGAAGATGAGACATCCTAGAGTAATTTGCATTTTTCATTTGCCTACTATCAAGGGTCAGTAAACCATGGCCTGTAACTTGCTGGTACATCTCACTAGCTAAAAATGTTGTTTTGTTTTGTTTTGTTTTTTACATCTTTAAAGGATGTAAGGAAAAGAAAAGAAGGAAGAAAGACCATATGTGACCCATTAAGACTAAAATAATAACCATTGCAGAAAAAGTTGTCTAATCCAGATTGATCTATTGAAGTCCTGCTAAGCAAGAAGGAAGCAGAACAGGCAGGACACAGGTCTAACACCCACCCATACCTGGCCCAGGACATGCAGGGTGTCATTTAACCTCTGTGAGGCTCAATTTTCCCACCTACAAAGTGAAGACAGTAACATCCCTGGGGCTGTGGGAATTAAATTAGATATAATCCACATCAAGCCTTTGGCCCAAAGCATCCTAGAGAGCCACGTGTGGGCAGCGCTGGTGGCTGGTGGCTGCTGGCAGCAGTGGTTGTGGTGGAGGGGAACAGTGCAGATGGTAGAGGGACAAGCAAAAGGGCCCCATTCTGACTGTCTGTCTACATGTCACAGAGAACGGGGGAAACTGACTCATGGGGGTGACTCATCCGAGGTCACACCACTATAAGAGTTATAATGTCACCAGAACAGCTTTCTGCAAACCCATGAAGGCTCACAAGCAGGTCCTAGGCACCCGCCCTTCCATTGCCCCTTTCAGGGCCAACACACCAATACACACACACTTCTGACTCCAGACTTCATTCCCCTAGAACTTTGCTCTTTTCAACAGACTGATGGGTGGACCTGCTGTGTTGCTCGTATCCTAGGGGCATTTTCATCCTTTCACAGACAGGAGGTCTCTAAGGAGCCACCTCAAACCAAAGCATTTCTTTATTTTCCCAGCATGGGGACCAAAGTCTGGCCGTAGCAGGGCCTCTCCTCTTGGATCAATTATCCAAATTCTGAAGCTCACATGTTAGCTCACGCTCTGGAACAGAGAAGGGTAGGCATGTAACAACCATAAAAATCGGGTTAGCTCTGGTCCCATCAAATCTCTCGGGCCCTCAGTCATCCTTACCTGCCTCTTGGTGCTTGAGAGAGGAAGGTGTCTCAGAGATCACATGAGGGGTTCCAAGCCACTTCCGGTTTTTGAGATTACCAGGACATACATTTTATAAAATGTGGTCCACTTTAAATAGTTACATTGCAAAATTAACCCTTTTAACCCCAAAGTATAATTCCATCTAATGGTGCTAATCCACAAAATAATTTTTGGATTCATCACATGTATGAATTTATATTGAACGAGCAGGCAAAGTGGTCCAGTAGTGACATAGAAATAGGAGTTTCAAGTTGGAAAGCATGTGTCTCCTTCTACTCTAGCTGGGTCAGATTATAGCACCACTTTATTGGGAGATGAAGTTCTTAGAAATGACATGCAAGTCTAGAGGGGAGGATCCTCTTGCATGTTTCTCCAGCAAATTCCTAGTTGGATCTCCTGTCTCTGGCTGTTCTCACCACAACCCTAGCAGAAGATTTTCTCCTGCATCAAGGGCCACAAAGGCCACCAGCTTCTCCTTCATCGCTAAATGTAAATTTGTTGGGCGGGGGGGCAGGACACCTGCATCACCCTGCTCCACCCTGTGCCCTCTCTTCCTGCTTCTAGGAAAACGGACAATGTCTTCTCCTCTTATTTCTCAAAAAATGATTCTTGAGTACATCAAAGAATGAGGGGTTAACTTGATAGTAAGGAGACCAACAAGCCCTGCCTCAGCCAGGTGGCCAAGGTCAACATCAGCAGGTATAAATCACGTTGATGGTAGCTACCCTCCCCACAATGTGATGAGAGTGGCACTTTGGCTCTGTGGCCATCCCTCAAAGCCACATCAACCCAGTCTACTCATTACAAAAACAGGAAACACAAAATTCCTAGTCAGTATCCTCAAAACCGTCAAAGTCCCCACATACAAGGAAGTCTGAGAAATTGTCACAGACAAAAGGAGACTAAGAAGAAATTATAACTAAGTAATAATGTTGTGGGATCCTGCAACAAAAAGAGACATTCTGTAAAGCAAACAAGTAAGTTTAAAAATCCAAATAAAGTATGGAATTCAGTTAATAATGATATATCAATATTGATACAGTAACACTGACATATGTGCCACATGTATGTAAGATGTTAATAACAGGGAACATAGGCATGGAGTATACAGCAATCCCGTACCATAATTCCACAAACCGGATTGTTCTAAAATTTAAAAAAGTATTTTTTAAAAGACTCAAATGTTCCGTTCTTACCCACCTTCAAAGCACAAAACACAAAACACACAGCTTACATAAGGCAGTGTGGCAGAGGGATCAGGAATACAGACTCTCCCTCCCCCGGCACTGAGGCAGGAAGATCACAGGTCTGTGGCCAGCCTCAGTGACTTAGCAAGATTCTGTTTCAAAATGAAAACTAAAAAGGATTGGTAGTATAACTCAGTGCTAGAGGACCCCTGGGTTCCAGCCCCACTACCTAAAATTAAATCAAATTAAATACAAAGACTCTTGAGATGTGAGACCCGGCTCTGCCACTTCCTGTTGAA